TGTACTAACTGTTTAATGAGAAGCTATTTGTTCTGTAAATCTTCATTTCGAGTACAATTAAAAAAAAAATAAGTCATTTTCCCATGACATTTGGACTTGTTGGAGCTACTGGCTCATCCTGGACCTACTGTTAAGGGAGAAAGGCAGGGGAGCCGACTGACCCGGCCACGCCATTGCCGTTTACAGTCCCTGACTCTGCAAGTCGGTTCAATGTTGCTTTTTCACGTGCTGCCTGGAATAGAGCCGTCTGATTCTTTCCTCGGGAACAATGGCTGTTTTTATGAGTTCTTGCTTGTCTCAGGCGATGTCCCACACAATGAAATCTTTTCTTTTCCATTTGTTTAAGCTCGTGGACCTTATGGACTCTGTCTGGTTGACTTATCTGATGTTTAGAGTTAGTATATATGATAGCAGCTTGTTCTTTGTGTGAAGAAAAAAAAAAGGTAGAGGATGGAACTTTCCCTCCCCCCACCAAAAAAAAAAAAAAAGCGAGAGAGAAAATTCCTCAACCCTATTCAGAATTAGGGATTAGGTTGGTAGCAAAAGAAGAGGGAAAAGAGGACCCTTGGGGCAAGTGGCTGTTGTGTGTGTGTATCCCTTCTTGATATGGCAGAGCAGAGTACCCTCTGCATGGGGCCCCCATTCTGTGGTATGTTCACTTTTCCTCCTGGACACAAGCAAAGGCTGGAGAATTTTTTATTAGAGGAGCCTCTGCCTCCCTACCCGCCTCCCCTGGGATCCAGGGCCAGAGGAGCTGGCAGAGGAGCCCTTGCTGAGGGTCTGCTCTGAGCTGGGTCCACGCTGACCTCACCTGACCTGGCTGGTCAGATAGAGCAGGCCTGAGTTGGCTTGAGCAAAGAGGTATTCAGAATCCAGGGATGCTGCCTTTCCTCCCTCCCTGAGTGCAAATGAAACCTCAAAACTCCTGCCCACAGAGGGTTCATGTTACTTTTTTCATGACTGAGAATGGATTTACTGCTCATCCCCCGCCAGATAGACCCCAAAAAATCCCTGCTCCTGCACCTAGCCTACCCTACGCTGAGGCTTGCTTACGCTGCAACAAAAAATATTTGGATGCACAAAGGCCTACTTCCTGTTTTGGTAGAAATTTCCCTAACCACTGGCTCTTCTGATTTTTCCCTTGTTCTCTAAGACCAGTATCATGGAGTCAGTATGCTTGTTGAACACCTGGGTTTGTTGCCATTTGGGTGTTGAGGATTTGGAGATCTGTCCTTTTGAAGATTATATCCTAGGGTATGTGTGTGTGTAACTGTGTTTGTCTATGACAGTAATAATAGATAGATAGATAGCTGCTATCAGGTCTAGTCCTGCTCACGGCAACTTTATGTACGACAGAACAAGACATTGCCTTGTCCTGAGTCATCTTCACGACTGCCGGCATGTTCGAGTCCATCGCTGTGGCCATTGTGTCAATCCATCTCTCCAAGGCTCTCCCTTAGCCCCACTGGCCCTCTACTTCACCAAACACGATGTCCTCCGCCAGCGATTGATCTCTCCTGATGACGTGTCCAAAGCAAGCAAGTTGGATGGTGTTCTGTCATGATTCGTAAGGTTTTCATTAGCTAGTTTTCCAAAGTAGGTCTCCACGCCTTTCATTTTAGTCTGTCTTAATCTGGAAGCTCTGCTGAAACCCGTACACCATAGGTGACCCTACTGGTATTTGAAGTACCGGTGACTTAGCTTCCAGTATCACAGCAACACACAAGCCACGACAGTATGACAACCTGATAGACAGGGTAGTGGAATAGTAACAGTAACTACCATTTATTGAAGGCTCATTATGTGCCAAGTACTGTGATAAGCATTTAGCCAACATGATCAGTAGATATTCGAGGAGTAAATGCCCCACCCTGCTGTACTTCCTTGTCTTCTCCCCTAGCCCGGTAAATCAGAGGCAGGAAGGAGAAGCAGGTATAGGCTGTACAGAGAGAGCTTTGCGGATCAGAGTCAGGAGGTTAGTTTTATTTCAGTCATGATGGAAAGCTGTTGGGTGTGTCTAAGCAGGGAGATCAGAAGTAACTTCCTCCAGCCTATCTGCTTACCTCCCAGCCAGTTGTATAACCGGACCAAGAACCAAGGACATCACACTCCCAGCCTGGTGACTGGAAGAAGCAGCATTACATCGAAAGTCTCAAATGAATTATTTTCTATAAACATGACCTTAAGCACTTTTACCACCATCATACTTGTTCCCAGCATGGTTGAAACATACTGAAGGTGGAAATTGTAATTTTATGTATAGTAGAAAGTGAAAACATTTTGGTTATTTTATTCACTGAAGCAAACATAACTAAGTCACTGGAAGGTGAATCATTTCCCATTTGCTAGACTAATCACTGACATGTTTATCTGTGTACATTTGGTAATAATAAATCAGCTGTTTGTGACTGAAGCCATAGACTTAATTTTTTTAAAATTATCATTCAACAAAATAGATTGCTTTCTTTTAGTGTACCAGTAACAAGTTGCTGTCAAGTCATCTCTAACTCATAGTGACCCCATGTGTATCAGAGAAGAACTATGCTCCATATGGTTTTCAATGGCTGATTTTTAGGAAGTAGATCACCAGGGTTTCTTTTGAGGTGCCTCTGGGTGGCCTTGAATCTCCCCAGTCTTTCAGTTAGCAGCTGAACACGTTAATTGTTTGCGCTACCAGAGACTTCTTTGGTAAATATATAGGTAACAAAACATTTGCCATTTCTATGATCTTTACACGTACAGTTCAGTGATGTTAATTATATTCATCATGTTGTTTAACCATCACATTAACTGTTTCTGTATTTTTTTTTTAATCACTTAACAGAAGATCAGTGTGCCCTAAAAGTTCTACGAATTTAGCACATGTATAGAGTCATATGGAAATCCTGGTGATGTAGTGGTTAAGAGCTACGGCTGCTAACCAAAAGGTGGGCAGTTTGAATCCACCAGGCTCTCCTTGGAAACTCTATGGGGCAGTTCTACTCTGTCCTATAGGGTTGCTATGAGTCGGAATTGACTCGATGGCAATGGGTTTGGTTTTTTTGGTTTTTTTAATAGAGTCATATAAGGAGCCCTTGTGGTGCAGTGTTTAGGCACTTGGCTGGTAACCGAAAGGTCAGGGGTTCGAACCCACTAGTCGCTTTGCGGGAGAAAAATGTGGCAGTCGGCTTTGTAAAGATTATAGTCTTGGACCCTATAGGGCAGTTCTACCCTGTCCTATAGGGTCGCTATGAGTCGGAATCGACTTGACAGCAATGGGTGGGTTTTTGTAGAACCATACAACCACCACAGGTCACAGGATTGTTCCATCACCCCAACGAAACTCCCTTGTGCCAGCCCCTTTATAGTCATCCCTGCCTCATAGATTTTGTAAACAATTCTTTATTGAGATATAATTCACATACCATACAGTTCACCAACTTAAGTATGTAATTCAGTAGTTATTAGTTTATTCAGATTTGTGCAGTCATACGCACAATCAATTTTAGAATATTTTCATCATCCAGAAAGAAAAGCCATACCTGTTAGTAGTCACTCTGCATTTTACCTTAACCTCCCATCCGTGGGTAACAGCTAATCCACTTTCTATCTCTATAGATTTGCCTATTCTGGACACTTCATATAAATGGAATCATATAATATGTGGTCCTTTGTGACTGTCTTCTTTCACTTTGCATAAGTTCATGCATGTTGTAGTGTGTATCGTGCTCGTCATAGCATGTATCAGTACTTCATTCCTTTTTATTGCCAAATAATATTCCATGGTATGGAGATACCACATTTTGTTTATTCATCAGTTGATGAACATTTGGATCATTTCCACTTTTTGGAAAACTACTATGAATAATACTGCTCTCAACATTTGTGTACACATTTGAATCTACCAGCCACTCCTTGGAAACCCTGTGGAGCAGTTCTGTCCTGCCCTATAGGGTCGCTATGAGTCGGAATTGACTCGACGGCAATGGGTTTGATTTTTTTTGGTATGGTAACTATATGTTTAACCTTTTGAAGAACTGTGAGACTGTCAAAGCAGCTGCCTCACTTTACATTCCCACCGTCAGTGTGTGAGGGTTCCCATTTCTCTACATCCTTGCCAACACTTGTTATTGTCTGCCTTTTGCTTCTAGCCATCCTAGTGTTATGAAGTAGTATCTCCTTGTGGTTTTGATTTGCATTTCCATGATGACTAATGATGTTGAGCATGCTTTCATGTGCTTATTAGCTATTTGTCTCATGTACTTTAAAAAATCGTTTTATTTAACTTGGATAAGTTGAATAAACATCCTTTAACAAATGCTTAAAATATTTAGCATAACTTAGAAATGCACTGTTTTCACCTATAGCTTCGATTTCTTAAATTACATTTAACTGACATTAAATAGATTATTTCCTGCTTTTAAATGTTGTCCCAAACACAACATAAAATTATGCATTTTTTATATCTTAAGCTTTAGGATATGATACTGCGTACTTGGGATTTTTTTAAACACATGTCCTCTGGCCCCGATTGTGAAGATAAAATGCTTGGCATCCTCTTTGATGCCTTTAACCTCGATATTTCTATTTCCAATTCTAGGGTTTTAAAAATAATCTGGTGTGACAGACAAAAGTTAGGTACCAAAATTGCTTCAGTCAGATGAGGCAGTTTTATATGGGATTAAAACCAACCTGTAACCCGAGTCACACACAGCTGCTATTATTGGAACAGAGCCCTGGTGAAGGGCACCTTCTGTTGACGGGGCCAATTCAGATCCAGCAGCTTCCAGGCCAGGAGGTAGAGCAGAGGCACACTTTAAGGTGCAGTGATTAAAATCACTCTAAAACTGGTAAATTACTCTTTGATATTTAGACCAGTGCCACTTTGGATATCAAGGAATAATGGAATATTCTTATGTAAATATTCCAGCTTTTGATGGGAAGCTTCTGGAGGTCTGGAATCTAATTTGATGCATGTTTTTTCCCCATGGAGACTAGTAGCAGTGGAAATTAGTGAGAGGGCAGTGATGGTTCAGTGGTAGAATTCTTGCCTTTTATGCGGGAGACCTGGGTTCAATTCCCAGCCAGTGCGCCTTATGCACAGCCATAACCCATCTGTCAGCGGAGACTTGTGTGTTGCTATGCTGCTGAACAGGTTTCAAGGGAGTTTCCAGACTGAGACGGACTAGGAAGAAAGACCTGGTGATCTACTTGTAAAAATCACTTGGTGAAAATCCAGTGGATCACAGCAGTCCAATCCCGTTGTGCCATGAGGTCACCTTGAGTCAGGGGCTGACTCTGCAGCAGCTAACAACAGCAGACTAGCAGCAGGCTCTCAGTGCTTCTTGAAAGAATACTTGATGGTGGAAGCAGACACTGATTGCCAAACTCGTGTCCATCATCTGCCACACTTTCCTTTTTTCTAACAATCCTGATTTTGTTTCACTCTTTAACCTCCTCTTTGGAGCTTGCTGGGGTTGGGCTGGAAGTAGTGGAGGTCACTGGCCTCAGCCCCAGCCCCACTGGGCAAGTCTTCATTGCTCCAGGCCAATCCTCTTGCCGTGTCTTTGACATGGGCCATTGTAATTAGGACACATCTGCTGTGGCTCTTGAGGAAGATTTTCCTTGTGGATAAGAAGGAGACGTGGAGAGATTGCCCTTCTCCTTCCTCTGAGCATTGTCATATCTGCAAGTACACTGTATCTACTGCCCTCATCTTGTGACCTAAGAAGAACCAACCTGAAGGCAAAATGCTGACACCCTGCATGTGTCCGAGTGGGGAGGGAGGGACTGATGTGGATTCTGGGGTTGGGTCTGTCTCATTTGTGTCTTGGGCAGGCCATATGTTCCTCCTCCATAAACTATAACATCTTTGTTAGAAGGAGAGATACTCTTAGCCACGTGAATGAGGACTGGAAGGAACCTTTAAAGGTCAACCAGTTGTACCTCCTGCCTCATGCAGGGATCGCTTCAACATCCAGTGTGACCTGGCCCATCATTTTATGGGCCACTTGCATTGTTACTCTCCTGTATCCTTTCACCTGCTACTTAGCCTGCATTTTGTTCATGTGTTTGTGCTCTTTTTCTTAAGCATTTGAAGAAACGGGAAAATACAACCAACTGAAAGAACTTTTCATTTTAATTGTCAGTAAACCAGAATATGTTCTGTGAGCTTTCTTCAAGGCTGAGCCCAAGCTTCACTTCCTCCTTTACTCCTCCCCAGATTTGCCCTTTGCCCATGTTGGATTATTTTTTGCCACCTTTGAGCCCTCCTGGCTTGGCTCATACGTCTCTTCCTGCTCTGCCACAGTGGACATTTTGTTGGGAAGTCCAGTGTGTCCAGCTTTTGGGAAAATTACCCCTCCAAGCCTCTCTCCTCACCTTGAAAATGTGGATAATACCCAAGTTGCCTGGCAGTTGTGGAGATGAAATGAGATCAAGTGTATTTTTAAGTGCCCGTTGGTCCTAAATTCTATTTTACCATGTTCATCTTTGTTATGAAGGAGCCGTGGTGACACAATGGTTAAGTGCTCGGCTGCTAACAGAAAGGTTGGTGGTTTGAACCCACCCAGTGAGTCCGTGGGAGAAAGACCTGGCAATCTGCTTCAGTAAAGATTATAGCCAAGAAAGCCCTATAGGGTAGTTTTACTCTGTCACAGGGGTCGTTATGAGTCGGAATTGACTTGACACCCAACAACATCAGAATCTATGTTAGGAGGATAGATACTCTTGGTCACATAAATGAAGACTGGAAGAACCTTTAAAGGTTAATCCGTTGTACCTCCTGCCTCATGCAAGAATCACTCCTAACATCACGTGTGACCTGGCCTGTTATTTTGTGGGCCATTTGAATTATTGAGCTTACCTTTCTGCCACCGCCTGCCCCCACCCCCACCCCAGCCCTGCCCCAGTGGCATCTGGCAGAGTGACTTGTATATATTAAAATTATTCCGTTTGATTCAGCCATTCCGTATCTAGGAACTCCTTTGCTTTCCGCAGTGCACAAAATTGTTAAGTTATGGTTCACCCATTCAGTGGATTACTGTGCATCTGTAAAAATCAAAGATTCATCTCTACGTGTTTTGATAAGGAATAATCCAAGGTGAACTGCTAAACCAGAAAAACAAAGTGCAGAACTCTGTGTAGATTAGGCTGCCATCTATGTTAAAAAAACATGTATCTACCAAAGCTTAAGATCCATATGCTAACAAAACTTAAGATGCCATAGATGGCAAGGTACCCTGTACCTCTGAGAAGAAAAAAAAAATGCTTCCAAGTAATTATAAGACACATCTTGATTACAGAGATATTAAAACGTAAAAAAGTGTACATCTTAGGAGACTTACTCTTTTCCATTTATCCTTTGGACTGTTTTTTTTAAACAGGTCCACCTTTATTTCATTTAAAAGAAATGGAGAACCCAGCAAATCCACTCCTAGGTATGTACCCAAAAGACTGGAAAGAAGAGACTCAAAACAGAGACTTGTACACCAGTGTTCATTGCAGCACTATTCACAATAGCCAGAAGGTAGAAACAACCTAAATGCCCTTCAACAGTTGAATGAATAAACAAAATGTGGTACATACATGCAGTGGAATACTACTTAGTAACAGAAATGAAGTCTTGCTACGTGTTACAATATGGATGGAGCTGGAAGACATTATGCTGAGTGAAATAAGTCAGTCACAAAAGGACAAATATTGTATGACCTCGCTTATATAAAAACACAAGAAAAGGCAGATGTATAGAGAACAAAGTTTATTAGTGGTTACCAGGGGTGGAAGGGAGGGGGAAAAGAGGGGAGGTTAATGATGATGGAAATATCATGTTGATTAAGGGTAGAGTTGCACAGCTGAGTATTGTATTTGCCATCAGTAAGTTGTACGCCTGTAAAAAGTTGAATTGGCAAAAGCTGTATGATAGATATATTTATAACAACGACAAAAAAAAAAAAAGTAGCTGCTAAGGCTGCATAGGTACAACCAAAAACCTCTTGGGATTTGGTTTCTTGGTTTGGACGTTTAGGGTCAAGGTTTCATGGAACATCCCGGTTAATTGGCCTAATAATTTGTTTAGTACTTGTGTTCTACCTCCTATTTTGACGCATAGTACCTGGGGTCTTAAAAGCTTGCAAGAGGCCATCCAAGGCCATTCAACAGAGGAAGAAGGAGATTCAGGAATACGAGGAGGAAATGGAATGTGTGGCTAATTGCCTCCATGAATAACTGCCTCCTTTGCCATGAGACCGGAAGAACTGGATGGTACCTGGCTACCATTACTGAACATTTTGATCAAAGATTCAATAGAAGAATCCTGATCAAGAGGGGGAAAATGCAGAACAGAATTTCAAATTCTCATGGACTCCAGACTTCCTGGAGTCATGAAGGTTGGATGAACCCCTGAAACTATTGCCCTGAGATAATCTTTACACCTTGCCTATGTTTTTGTTGGTTTTATCTGCGTTTTCCTTGATCTCTTTTCCTAATTTCTTGGAGAGCTCTAAATATTAGTCTTTTGAATTCCATATGAGGTAGTTCTACTGCCTTTTATTCTACTGGAAGGTCATTTGATTATTTTTGTCACTTGCTGGAGCCATCGTGTCCTGCTTTTTTATACGTTTTGATATTGTCTGCTGTCTTTGAGACATTAAGGTATTATTTTCTTTATTTACTGATTGTACGTTCGTTTGTTGTGTCCTGCTTTTTTGTTTTGTTTTGATATGTCAGGGTGGGCAGGCATGCATACTTTGCTGCTTGCTCCTCTGTGGGTATGATAGCTCTCACCACCTCTCTGGGTGGGCAGAACAGCAGCAGGCAGGGTGAGCCTGCTTCACTGTACACTGGTTTGGCGAGGTGGCTGAGGGTGAACTGGGTGGGTGCTGTCTGCCTCCTGATGTTGGTCCAGTGGTGTGGGAGCAGATAGGCAGGGATGTCAGATGGGGAGTGGTACAGGCTTGCTTCCTGTCGTTCAGCAGATGGTTGAGTGGCGGGAGGGGAGGGGTGGTGCAGGCCCAGTGTGGTGATGGGCCTGAGCGCTGAGAATGCTCTAGCCGTGGCAGCACAGTGGGGGCTGGCAGGAAGGGAGTTGGCATATGGGGCTAGGTGGAGATGGCGTGGGGAGAAAGAAAAGGAAAGATAGGGAAGAGAAAAAAGAAAAAAAAATGGCAGTGTGGTGGGGGCAGTGTGGTGGGGGCCAGCCAGTGGGTGCGGGGTGGACCCAGGGTGGCAACAGGCCAGTGGCTCTCTAGCCAAGGGACATGGCATGGCCTGTCTGGAAGGATTTGAGGTGGCACACAGGGCGGAAGGGCGAGGGGTGGGAAAGTGTGTTTTTCTGGTTACCAAGTGCTCTGTCTCCTGTTGGGACCTCTGTGGAGTTGCCTTCCCATACTCCCTGTCCGAGGTCCTTGTGGGCCCTGTTCCAAGATGGCGATGCCGTGCAGTGTTAGTTGGCAGGGGACCCCCACTCCGTATCTGTGTTTGTTCTCTTTTTTCCATCAATTTCTTCTTCCATTTGGTGTTTGATCTAGTCCTTTATCCCTTCATTTGATGCTTAGGCTTCCAGGATTCACATTTGTATCTGTTTTACTTAGTTTTTCGGGTCTTTGCTGCGGAGAGTTGGCGTAGTGTCTCTCTCTACAGTGACATATTAGCTCCACCCCTAAACCTTAAACCAAAAATATCCCCTGAAGTCTTCTTAAAAACAATAGTTTAGCTTAACTAGTAAAAAAAAGGTCTGCCTTGAGCATTATGCTCTTTTAAGAACTGTCTACATGGGATCAAATTGAGAACAGCAACTGGAAAGATAAGAACCTTAGGGGGCAGTGAATTTATGTTAATGGGGTAAGAACAACTCAGAAAAGGAGGATGAGAGTGGTTGCCCAACTCGACGAATGTAATCAGTGTCACTAAACGGTACATGTAGAGACTGTTGAATTGGTGTATCTTTTGCTATGTATAGTCTCAACTATATGTATATATATATATATAAAGAAATCAGGGATATGTATATTTATGGTGTAAGTAGGCCTTGGGCTTTGGGAAACTTTCACGAGTGCTTCTATGTAGATAAAGATTTTGAGATTTACCTCCACG